ACCCAAAAGAGCCAAAAATAAAATATAAATAAATAAATAAATTTATTTTAAAAATCCTTTAAAAAAAAAAACTTCACTTTCCAAACTTAAAATAGAAGCAGAATGTTAAAACTGGCATATAAATTGTGTTGATAACAAGCTTATTTTCAACTTTTCCATTTGGTGCTATTAATGAATGGAACGTTAGCATATCCTTTCTTTGATTCAAACCCAGGGTTAGTTAAGTCTTCTTGGAGTCCCATACAGACTATACTTCAACTGAACCAAATGTTAAGTAATGGTTCTACTGAAGAGACAGCTTGACCATTGGTAACAATTTTACAATGGAAGTTTCCTAAGAGCTAGGAAAGCAGCAATCTGAGACAATTTTTTTCCTGAATAAGTCTTTACTACAATCACTCAGGAATACACATTACATGTACTAGAAAGACTCAAAAGGGTTTTTTTCTGATTGCTAAAATCCTGCGATTTTAGTAAAAGGAAATCTCCAGTGTGATAATTCTAAATACCAGTCAGTCTGAAGCCTGAGTCACTTTGCCTAAAAAGTGATTTCATCATTAAAATTTTGTAATAATCATTGCCTTTGTGGAATAGGGCTATAATTTCTAAAGACAATAAGGAGCAAATAATTAGTAAACACAAATTGAGCTGAGTTTTCTAACAAAAGAGACATTAAAAAGGGCAAGCTGCAGAAAGTCAAACATAACACATAAACACATGAACATACAGAACATTACTATTTATTGTTTGTAGCTACTTTTGTACACCCTAAAACTTTAAAACTATACATAGGAATAATACCTACCAAAAAAGAGAATTTACCTCTCAGGGTGAGGGTGAGAAGAGATGGAAATGAACTTTAGTGGTTTCTGTGACATTTTATTTTCCAAAAAACATCATGTACACGCTAAAACAAATGGGGCAAAACATTAATATCTGCTAAATCTGGGTAGTGGTTACTTTCTCTGTATTTAAAATGTTTCCTAATTTAAAATAAAATTTTAAAGTGATTACATGTGGCCAAATAAACTGAGAGCTACATACTTGTATGGTGTTCAAAATGGAATCTCCAAGATCTAGACAACTAATCTCAATTAACAACAAAACAGCTATCTGAAGACTCAGTCCTTTGCCACAGACTCAAATACAGATTAGAATAAGATTTACTTTACAATAAGAACAGGCTCATTTATGTAGCAAAGTTCAGAGAAGTTTCATAGATAATTTACTACTCAAGACTGCATTTATCCAGGTTGTACTGTTGTATTGGACAATATCAATTATCAAGAACCAGGAAGTTTAAAAAAAAAAAAAAAGCCTTTATGGAAGCCAGAATAGATGATTCAAAGTCCATACAATAAAGTTCATACCCTACACTCAGAAGAGAATCCATCAAACCCTCACTTAGAAAAAAATTTTAAGCTCAAACAAGCTTGTTTATTTGGTTACTTAGACCTCTTCAGATCAAGTTCAGTAAAATAGAAGAGGGAAGAAATTGCACAATAGGGAGCAACAAGGCACAACAAGCAGCAAGTAATAACCTGAGAGTAAGGAAAACAAACTTTAAAGAAAAGATATGAAACTAATAAATTATAGTACACAGGTTTGGGTAATCTATAGTTATAAGTATCAATGACATGTTAGAATGCTGTCCAGTATTTAGAAAAAGAAGAAAAGAAAGAAACCTAGATTATGAGGAATTATGGAGCTTAAAAAGATAAACATTTTCATCAAAATATTTACATATTTTTTAAAGTCTGAGTGCCTCAAAGGGTAAGCTTCATTTATCTGGAAAATTCACTGCAAAATTCAATGCCAGATGATACTGGACTTACCATACAAAAGTTTCTTATACCCAGGTGTTTCCTCATTGATACATTTCAAGAAACAGAATAGAAAATCTGAACAAATTCAATTCCTTATGACCAATCTTTCAAATTTAATTTAAGACCATTTAGTGATCTAGCACAATGCTGTACAAATTAATTAACTTTATCTGTTTTAAGTAATAAAAAACTACTAAAATGACTGCATAGAATATCTGCAAAATTTGGGCAGAAAATTCCATAACACAGGGTGACAATAACATCCACTTAGGCGCCAAGTTGTAGCCTGCCAAACAATCTACTGTATCTGAAACTCTCCTCTACGTGCCAATTTAGTCATCACCATCATGAATATTTTGTTGGCGGAGGCCAGGAATTATTTAGTATATCCTGACTTCTGGCATTGAAGGATAAAGTTAATTTCTCTGGCACAGGTGAAATATTTCCATAAGAGAATTACTGTATAAACCACTATACACTCATAACCAGGAGCTGTAGCCACTCACATAAACTTGTAATCTATTTTTAAATTAATTATCCACAAAGCAAGAGAGTCAGAATTTTAAATAGCTACGAAGTCTGTTCCTCTCAAATATCCTAATGTAAAAGGAGAGGAAAGGGAATGTCCCATTTTTCTAGGCCCATGATAACACATTTTCAAAACCTGCTGAATTAGACCACACTCACTTACGTAAAAGACAACTACTTTTAAATCACTGCACACTGACTAATTTTCATCTTCCCCAGAAGTCCACACCCCAGACCAGGTTAAAAATCCACTAAGTTTCTAATATGTAACCTGTACAAATACTCTGAGCTTATCATAAAATTTTGCAACTAAAGCAACCAAGCAACTTGCATACTTTGTGCAATGCAATTCCAAATTTTTAGGGAACTGACACAATACCAATTATCAATCTAGGCTTCTAGAGATATAATTTTGTCCACATTTTTATATTTCCACAATCAGATACCACCTAATGCCACAAGTTAAACTTATTGCTCCAATCTATGGATTTCAAAAACATCAATATATGCTTTTTACTACTAATGTTAACTTTTTACTAATGTTAACTCCTCTTTACACTTCCAAAGGCGGCAAAGCATACAATTAAAAAGTCCAATCATCCTTTAATAAAACCTGTTAGAATTCTCTATCATGCCATCTTTCATTTGTGTTGCCACCTTGCCTGAAAATAATTTTCTGAAAAGCTTTGAAAACTTAATGTTACAAAAAAAAAAAAAATTCATTTATTTCCTTGTATCAAATTAATGAGTCCCTGCTAATACCTAGTACATTACCACATGCTCCTTCATTGGCCCAAACCAGTCCACCAACTATTTCTCATTTCTTTCCAAAAGTAAGTAGAAAAGGGGTAAGGACAAGCATGTCACTGCTTGTTGTTATACCCTAACACAAACAAAACTATCATTTCCCAATAAAATAATCATTTGAAAATCTTTATTATTGATAATATTTTTTCTGAAACTTTTCCCTAAATATGTATACCTCTCAAAATTATGAATGCATTATGGGGTACACCAACTATTGGGGTAAAGAAACAAATGATTTTTTTTTTAATGTTAGTCTTTGCACATAATGCAAACTCATTCATTGCTAGGTCCTTCTTCCCACAGGTCTGCCAAGTCACAAGACACACTACTGTTTACAATCCCTCCCATCTGCCCACAGCCAATATATATCAAACACTCTAGTCACTTGGCTTAAATAAACAGTCTCTCCCAAATAACCCTCTCAAATCCTAATTTAGACCCAAGATGCACTCATTCTGATTCATATTCTTAATGGAAAATTTTTAAATCACCTGACTTTCACAGGGGTAAGTTTTGCCTTTTGATGCAGCCAGACAACAGAGCCCTCATGCTTTCGTACAAGCACTCCAAATCTGACAGTATACTTTTTAATTCTACACTTTTAGACATATTTTCAATCTGAGTACTCGGCTTTCAAAAACAACTGCCAACTTTCAATTCATTCGAACGCTACACTAGTCTACATTTCTTTCATTTCGCTGCTATATACACCCTAATCTTTAAGGTTGAGGCCTACTGATTTTTTCCCCCTGACTGCAGTACGAAAAGAAATGAAACAAAATGTATTTACCATCATTCTTTTTAAAGGTAACTACTAAACAGTTCCCATTTTTCATTACAGACTTCACATAATACATCATATAACATGGTATCACAAATGTCTATTGTTCTAGATCTTTGTAGGGCATCAATACTAATGATCTCCAAAATCAAACAATACTTTAGATAATCTGCGGGGGAGGGGCGGGGGGAGCATGATTCACCAAAAACTGCAATGAAGAGTAATGGAATATTTTCACCGGTGGTATGCTAAAACCAATAGCTTCTTTCAGAGGAGGGTACTGCTAAGCAACCATCGCTGTACCAATAAATCCACCTGCTTTAAAGGCTGCAAAGCTAAGAAGATGGAAGGAAAAGCGGAGATGGGGGTCCTCCTTCAGCTTCTTTAGAGGTTAGGAGAGAACAAAGTCAATGCTGCACTGTCACTTGAGGGAAAGAAGGGGGAGGGGGCGGATCATCTTAGAAACCCAGCCCCTGGGCCGGAGCAGGCGGGGAGAACTCAGCAAGGCTGCCCGGGATTAACATTCTCCTTCTCACCCTCTTCCCCCTTCTAGAATCTCCCCTCCTGGCTAACGCGCGGCAGCCGGAGTCCCAGATGACTGCCCCTTCCAATGTGTCCTCCATGGGGCGTAGGGAGAACGAGAGAAAAGAACTGAGTCAGGAGGCTACGCATGGACTCCGATGACCCCTCTGGCCTCCCCAACACCCTCCAGCCTCTCCCAGACCAAGACCAAGCCCGGAAGGGCCGGGGTTTGGGGGAGGCTCCACACAGGTGTGCTGGCCCCGAGGGGCACACGGGCCGGGCCGGCCGGTTCCCGCGGCGCTCCCTGCAGCACGGCCCGGGCCCCAGGCCGGCAGGGCAGAGCACAGCCGCCGGGCGCCCCGCGGCCGCCCCAGAGGGGCGCGCCCGTCCCCGAGCCGGCCCCCCCCAGACCCAGGTCCGCAGCGCCCAGGCCCGCGCGCCCGCTCGCCCGGCCGACCGGGCCCCCAGCCCAGCCCGTGGGCGCGGCCTAACTGCTTGCCCGGCAGCTCGCCCCCGGCACCCGAGGGTCGCCGTACCTGGGCGGAGGCCTCCAGCTTGCCCTCGAAGGTGAAGTCCAGCAAATCGGGCTTGAGGCAAAGGCTGTAATTGATGGGGCAGACGTCGGCAGGCAGCCGCTCGAAGGGCCTCTTCTCCGGCATCGCGGCGAGGCCCAGGCTGTGGAGGCGGCGGCGGCAGCGAGAGGAGCGGCTGAGGAGGAGAAGGAGGAGGGGAGGAGGCGGAGGGCCGAGGAAGAGCAGGCGGCGAGCGAGGGAGGGGGCGGCGGCTGCCAGCCACATCCACCGAGCGCCGGCGACCGCCTGAGGAGAGCGACCGGGGGAGCCTGGGGGCGGGGGAGAGACCCAGCCCGATCGCCAGGGGCCGGGAGGCAGGCAGTACGGACGCGCGGGCTGGCGGGCCGGCTGCCTACAGGGAAGGGGGCGGAGGGGAGGGAAGGGGAGGAGGGCCAGCAGGGAGGGAGGGAGAGAGGGAGGGAGGGAGGGAGGGAGGAGGCGGCGGCGGCGGCAGCGACAGTTTTGCGTGCGCGGCCCCGCCGGACGGGCGCGCCTCCGCCGGTGTGCGCGCGCGCGCCGGGAAGGGGGCGGAGCGGCGAGGGCGCGGCCAGCTTGGCGGGATGTAGGGTCGCCGGCGAGCCCTGGGGGTGGGAGGCGGCTGCCGGCGCTGCACCTGTCTCCGCCGCTGCGGGGAGCAGGCCGCCTGCGAGCTGGAAGAAGCCCGGAAGGGTTTGAGAAGCACAGAAAAGGCGTGAGGGCCCCCCACCCACCACCACCCCCCCACACACACACACCTACCTCTCTCTCACTCTGTCTCTCTCTCTCTGTCTCTCTCTCTCTCTCTTTCCCCCCACCCTGCTAACCCCCGGGCTGTCTTTGGAAATAGAAGCCTATGTAGTTGGTCAGTGCAGTCAGGGCAAAATGTTGAAATATCAATTAAGAGCAAAACCCCAAACTAGATTTTTACCTCCAGACCAGCAGAAAACCCTGATGGGAGGCTCTTTGGCCGTAATTATTTCTGTTATTTTAAGTAGTAACTTCAGGGGATGATATGAAAAATTTTGTCAGAAACCCTTTAATAATTCAGGTTACTTAAACCAATAAGATTTGGACCTTTGAGGGTGTGATTTCAGAAATTAGAAGATTTTTGTTTTCATGATTTAATGTTCAAAAGTAAGATGTGCTTCACCTTTTTTCTGTTTTCGTCTTTGTTTCTGCTTTTTTTAAAAAAATAGAAGACCTGGGTATTCCCTGCCGGTCCAGTGGTTAGGATTCTGTGCTGTCACTGCCAGGGCCTAGGTTAGATTCCTGGTTGGGGAACTAAGATCACGCAAGCCTCGTGGTGGGGCCAAAAAAAATAATAATAATAAAATAAAAGACCTTTTACCAATTGTGGCCTCTTTAAAGGTAAATTAGCTGTGGCTCCCTCAGTTTTGTAGGTATCTCGCAAATTGAGGTATATATATTTTTAATATAAATATATATTAATTACATATAAATGTGTGTATATTTAAATATATGTTTTAAAGTGTCAAGGACAAGGAGATTTTGTCTATAATTCCCCATATTCCTTTATAGAACCTTCTCATGTAGAACCGCTTAATTTTTAAAACTCAGTGCTGAAAGTTGTACTGGACCACTATTGTTCAATAGAAATATAATGCAAGGGACTTCCCTGGTGGCGCAGTGGTTGGGAGTCCGCCTGCCAGTGCAGGGGACACGGGTTCGATCCCTGGTCTGGGAAGATCCCACATGCCGTGGAGCAACTAAGCCCGTGCACCACAACTACTGAGCCTGCGCTCTAGAGCCCGCCAGCCACAACTACTGAGCCCACCCACCTACAGCCCACGTTCCGCAACAAGAAAAGCCATGGCAGTGAGAAGCCCGCACACCCCAACTAAGAGTAGCCCCTGCTCGCCGCAACAAAGACCCAACACAGACAAAAATAAATAAATTTATTTTAAATATATATATATATATATATATAATGCAAGCCAGCTACGTAACTTTAAATTCAAAAAAAAAGAGAAAAAGGTGAAACTGATACATCTTATTTAACCTCATATATCCAAAATATTATCATTTCAACATGCAATCAACAAAAAAGTTTTAATGAGGGAGTTCCCTGGTGGCCTAGTGGTTAGGATTCTGGGCTTTCACTGCCACCGCCTGGATTCAATCCCAGGTGGGGGAACTGAGTTCCCGCAAGCTGGGTGGCCAAAAAAATAAATGTATATGATTTTTTTTTCCATAATAAGGCTTTGAAATCCAGTGTGTATTTACAGCACATCTCAATTTACAGCACATCTCAGTTTTGACTAGGCACATTTTGGGTTTTCAACAGCCCCATGTGATTAGTGACTATTATATTGATCAGCACAGTCTCGGACACTAGGCCTGCCCTCCTATCCTCTGAATCCTACATACCTTTTAGAACAGACTGAAAAGCTGCAATCATTTCAAAGTAAGATGTGAGATGGGGCCTTTTGTTACATGGATGCATTTCTATGCCCACTTTTTGGTCATAAAATAATAATATAGTACTAATATATTAATAATGTAATTAATAATTGCATACTAATATATTGAGTGCTTACTGAACACTTTTCATGTATTAATTCATTTAATCCATTCAACAATTCTGTTAGGTGGACACCATTATCCCCATTTTACAGATGAGAAAACAGGCACATAGAGATTTAGTGACTTGCCCAAGGTCATATAGCTAATAAATGGCAGAGCTGGCATTAGGACCCAGCCATTTTTTTTCTCTCCTGGAAAATTTTGCAGCATCTCCCCTATTTTCTACTTCTCCAGTTTTGTTTTATTCTAATTCATCTGTACCTCAGCTTCTTAAAAAGTAATTTTTATTATGCAAGAAACTTTGAGGCTCCCTCTTTTCTGTTAAAGCAAATTTGATATATAACCATTTAAGGCTCTTCATGCACTGTCCTTACCATTTTCTCCGACTTGTTTCTCCTTACCCTTTAACGTAGCTTCTCCAGTCTTAGCAAGCTAAGCTGTTTACCACTTGGTCCTTAGAGCTTGCTCACTCTCTTCTCTACCATTGCTCATGCATTATTGCTAGGAAAGGCCTCCTCATCCTTCTTCGCAAACCCATGCCCCTCCCTTCCTTCAAAACTCACCTCTTCCAGAAAGTCCTCATTGACTAACTCCACCCAACTGTAACCCATTTCCCATCAGCTCTCAAGTACTGGCTTTTGCTGACTTATTTGGACTTGTTCTGTTTTTCTGTAATTGTATTTTTAATTTGTCTTATATGGATATCTTTTTAAGATGTACTACTAGCAAAAGCTTGACTTCTTATTCTTTTGTAACTGTCAGTACTGAGCCCTGCGCAAAGTACATCTCAATTTTTATTGACCCAACTAACCAACTGACCAAGAGAGACTATTTTACCCAGTCTGTAGCCTTTCCTTTGTATACAAGCTGTGTGCTCCACAGAGAACCTATGTGAACCTAAGGCTAGAAGCAAGCTCTTTTATAAAATCACAGAAATGTTTTAAAAAACAAAACAAAAAACCTACCAGGGCCATAGACTTCATGGCAACAGTAATAAAGAGGAGAATCTTACTTGGCCACATCCCTAGTCCCATGACCCACGAGGTTCCAATGCAGCAAGTCAAGATTGAACCCAGGCCTACTTGGGATAGAGGAATGGAAGGTAGCATATAGTTCCCATTAAGAAGACGAAGGAGCTAACATATGCTCCAGGCAGTCTTCTCTGGCATAGTTTAAATGAAGTTTAAGGCTCTTGGAAATTAATTTCCCTCCAATAGGGCTTCAGAAAGAGTAGGGAAGTCAGCAATATCTCAAGGTCATTAGCAGTACTTCTAACAGATTTCTCGGCTTCTCTGTTTAACAAAGCCCTTGAAAATCTGCAAATGAAAAACACCTATGCAAGTTGTATCCTTCAATAAAAAGAAAGAAAAAAAACTAATCAAATTCATTTTGATCTTAGTCCCTTTTGTCTTTAGTTTTAAAGCACTAGTCTGAGAGTCTGAGGACATAGTCCCAATTTTTATATATGACCTAGAGCAAGTTTTATAATTTCCCTGCTTCAGTTTCCACATTTGTAAAGCAGATAAGTGCATAATACATACTCTTCTTAAAGAAAAGTATTATTATTTTACTTGTGGCTTGGGAATTTCTTTTAAAAAAAAGAAGTCTGTCATGTTCTTTTTTGTTTTTGCCGCGTTGGGTCTTCATTGCTGTGCGCAGGCTTTCTCTAGTTGTGGCGAGCGGGGGCTACTCTTCGTTGCGGCGTGCGGGCCTATTGCAGTGGCTTCTCTTGTTGCAGAGCACGGGCTCTAGGTGCGTGGGCTTCAGCAGTTGTGGTTCGCAGGCTCAATAGTTGTGGTGCACAGGCTTATTTGCTCCGCGGCATGTGGGATCTTCCCAGACCAGGGATCAAACCCGTGTCCACTGCATTAGCAGGCAAATTCTCACTGTGCCACCAGGGAAGTCCTGTCATGTGCTTAATATCAGAATGATCTTCACAGCATGAGTTGTAGATAAAAAGTTGGAGTAAAGGATATACAGTTGGTCCTTGAACAACACAGGTTTGGACTGCACGAGTCCACTTATACATGGGTTTTTTTCAATAAAATACAAACTATAGGACTACATGATCTGTGGTTGATTGAATCCTCAGATGCAGAGACTGACTGTAAAGTTATACATGGATTTTTTTTTGACTGGAGGGAGTGGTCAGTGCCCCTAACCTCCATGCTGTTCAAGGGTCAACTGTATAGAGCAAATGTAAGAAATTGAAGATGTTTCAAAGCAAAGAGAATATAAAGGAATCAGGTTAGGAAGCCAAAATATTCAGGCAGAAGGGCGAGACACACTGGCCATGGAACATTGAAAGGGGAAGAGAAACAGGTCGAAGAGTTTGGGAGGCCATTATAAAACCCACCACATTAGATGAAAACAAAGCATTACTGTTACTATTTAGCCTCACTTAGAAATTATAGCCTTCAACATCAGTTTCAAGCGTGTAACTCCAGTTCCACTAACATGAGTCTTACCTGTGGAAGATGGTGAAGGAGTTCCAAAAACCAGGGAGACAAAAAGTTGGAGAGTAATCCATAGGAAGCTGATGCCATGAGATCCCAGCTTCACTCTTTTCTCTAACTTAAAATGGCTGTTGGAATGACCGTTGGAAATGTGGGGAGTAGATGGAATGTTGCCTACCCATCCTGTGTTCTTCATGAAAGAGAGTAGATTAATTCCATATGCTTTATTTAAAATGTATACTGGGCTTCCCTGGTGGCGCAGTGGTTGCGAGTCTGCCTACCGACGCAGGGGACACGGGTTCGTGCCCCGGTACGGAAAGATCCCACGTGCCGCGGAGCGGCTACCCGTGAGCCATGGCCGCTGAGCCTGCGCGTACGGAG